GTGTGTGTGTGTGTGTGTGTGTGTGTGTGTGTGTGGGTGCGTGCGTGCGTGTGTGTGTGTGTGTGTGTTCTCCTCATGCCCATGTGTGACAGCCCGTGGTGTTCAGCAGCCCCCTTGCCAGCAGTATTTCTGGTGCCTGCATTCTGCCCAAAATGCCCCTGCCAGGCCTTTCATCACCCATGTGCCTGGCTTTGCCGAGATGCCCTCAGACGCGAGCGGGAGGTCACAGCCGAGCGGCTTGTCACAGTGGCCGCATCCCAGCTGCACACACACACACACACAAACAGACGCAGTTCATATATTCCTATCTTTATGGGGACTCTCCATCCGTTTCTATAGGAAAACCCTAATCCCAGCTATGACGACCTTAACCATAAGTAACCAAATAAAACAGGTTTTACCGCGTGGGCACATTTGGTCCCCAGTGTGGTAAATACAAAGCCAGAGACTCCCGCTGCCCACCCAGCCGCCAGCTACAGTCCAGCAGACAGCAGCTTGTGTTTTCATTGCTCCTCCCAGGGGTTCGGTACCAAAACCCGGCGCCAATATGGCGCTGGTTCCTATGCGACCGGTATGTACCAGACTGTACTGCAAAGCAGATTTTGGTGCCTCATTTCAGTGCCACCTAAGTGTCTGAGCTGTCGATTGAAATGCCGGCCCTGTGGTGCTCAGCAACAGAAGCATCACTGCGCCTCCAGTGCAGTCGCCTGGTAGCGTTACACCTGCTCTGATGCTAGCAGACTGTTAGGTAGCAGCTACCTTAAGCACAGATAAAATGCCTCAAGCTAAAAGGTCTCTGCAGTGGGGGTGGGGGGTGGTTTAGGCCCCTGTGGACCCCCTGCAGTGGCTGAGCGAGTCCAGCCAGCTCCCGCCGTGCAATACTTCCTATGCTGGCAGCCTGTAGCATGTTCCGTGCCTGGCATCGCCACACGATGCCGTGCAAACTGGCCAGGGTGCCACTCTGCAACTGTACGCACGGCTATGTGGAGGCTAAGGCCTGTTTGTGTTCATGCCGTGCAGTGCTGGTTACTTTGGGAAAGTGGCACTGGAGCAGCATGTGTGTGTGTGTGTGTGTGTACATGTGCATATGTGTGTGTGTGTGTGCAGGCTTGTGTGCATGTTTCTGCCCTAGCTGGCCCCCATCTCCCTTAGCAGCTGTGAACATACGCTAGATTTCTAAAAATAACCCATAAAGCCGCTTCCGCACCCTCAGCTCCCCCCAGCCCCCTGTGCCAGAGCTCCCTCCCCCCGCCTCTCCCATATCCGACAGCTCCACCCTGTCATGAAATGCAAGCTGTCCCTGGTATACATTCCACATGGCATAAGCCTCTGAGGAGCATACCAACTCTGCAGAAAAAAGAGGGGGTGTTATGTGTAGGGAGGGGAGTGAGCTGATCATATGTTTTCCTTATTTCACAATGAATTTGTGTCCAAATGGCTGGGCTCCAAATGCTTGTGGTTTGGAAATGAGTTTTGTCAGTAGCCGCTCTATCCTCTGCTCCCCCCGTGCAGTGATGAGCGGCCCCTTCACTGTTGTCAGGCAGAACGAGGGCGGTGAGTGAGCCCAGCTGTCTTTAGGTAAATAGTTTGGCCTCTTTTAAAGGGGGGAGCAGACCTGGTGGGGATTCCACATTTGCAGAAAACATGTCTGGGGGCTTGGAAAGCCTGTAAGGGTTAATGGCCGGGTGTGAACATCGGTGCCTCATTATCTTATGCACACAGTGTGCAAAAACAGGCACACGGGCTCACCTCCTCTGCTTGTCACACACAACATACAACACACGTGTTCACATGGTACGAGCTCACGCACACACAATCCTGTCTTTTCCACATATGCAGTGCGCACCTGCAACCACGCACACTCGAATGCACTCACTCACCCTTCTCGCCCATTAAACTGGTGACAGGTCATTTGGTTACCTCAGTGTCAGAGGTCACAGAGATCATTCACAGCTTGCCTCTGACTAGCCCTCTGAACTAGAGAGCGGAGGTCCAAGGCCTGACCTCTCCGTTCTCGCAGGTCCGTCGGGCAGCGCACTGGACAGACCATGATTGATGGACCCCTTGCTACTGAGATGAGGCCGGCAGCAGTAAAGATGGTGCTCATCCGTCAGCTGCAGCAATGGGTCATGTTTGGGAATAGTGAGGGCAGAAAGTGGAGGGGGGGGGGGTGAAGATTCTCTGGGGCTGCGCAGAGGCAGCTGCCGTGTTTCAGCTGAGGTGGCATGAAGGCTCTGAGCCCCCTAACAGCCACCTAGAGGAGCCCACTCTCTGCCTTTGTGTGTCTGAGCTTTACCTGAGGGTTAAAGACACAGGCAGCCTCTTCCGAAGCTGTAATCAGCCACTGTGGCAGTCAATGGGCCCTGGCTCCATCCTGCTCCTGCTTCCACACACGTCGCTGCTTAAGGGCCCCACATGCATAGCTGCTGTAGCTGTGAGTCCCTCAAAGCCTCACCTGTTCCTGTCTCCTTTTATCCCAGGGCCGACACGTGAACGAGCTCCTCCGATTGGCTCCTGGGGACAGCACTGGGCGCACTCCTTAAAGGGGGTGGCAGGCACGAGCAAGACTGGTCTAGTGATATGGCAGCAAGAGTGGGACACCCCCTCTGGTGGGTGGAAGGTCCCAAACATGGCCACTTACGATAGGGCAGGAAGCAACACCCACCCACTGGAAAGAGGGGAACATTAGACCACACCCACAGTGAAGACAGGAAAGAAAGAGGAGACGGGGCCAGGTAAGAGAGACCTCCTCTGTGTGTGTGTGTGTGTGTGTGTGTGTGTGTGTGTGTGTGTGTGTGTGTGACGGGCGCCTGATGGATCATTGCAGCTCTGCGCCCACCGAGAGGCACACAGAAACAGCCTGCTAATGGCCTGCAGCTCCCCTGGCATTACCTGATACTCCCCACCTGCTGGCTTCCCTGGGGGGGGGGGGACAGCAGACAGGAAAGAGGGAGGGAGAGGGCTGCCCCATCACCTCCTTTATCCCCCAGGACTGGGGCCTTTGTTAGGCCTGGCGTGGGTGAGGCCGCTCCTCAGGGCGTGGTCTCGCACCCGCAGGACTTGCTTCCTCAACCACTGAGCCTGCAGACACACAGCCTTCCTCTCTCACACACTCCCACTCATTCATTTGCCCGCAGTGTGTGTGTGTGTGTGTGTGTTACAGTGCGCCTGTACCCTGCATGTGTGTGTGTCTGTATTACAGTGTGCCCGTCTCCTGCAAAGATATAGATACCTAATCTGTGTATGTTTGTGTGTGTGTGTTACAGTGCGCCTGTACCCTGCATGTGTGTGTGTCTGTATTACAGTGTGCCCGTCTCCTGCAAA